CCCGCCGTTTCTTGCTACTCTTTCATTTCTGAGTAGCTCAGCACAAATGTAATTGCTACTTAACAGACAGACTGGGTTCTGACTACTGAAAAAAGAAATCCCTAAAATGTCTCTGCCAGGAACTAGAATAAATAAAAATTGAAAGGAGTGGGGGTGGGGCAAGGCTTGGAAGTCGGTTACTGGTCAACAAACACTGGCTGCAAAAATCGTGCAGGCGGGAGCAGTGGAGCCAGCGCAGCCGCAGACCGATTTCTGATCTCCGAGCCAGCTGCCTCACTGGAAGCTCTCAGCGGGGCTCAGATATGAAGACGTTAGAACTGGACAGGTCTGGGAACTTTCTCCTCCCAGAGCACCGCACAGAAACTGTCTACAGCATCGTTCATTGTCCAAGATCCGGAGACAACAAAGGAGATTCGTGATCGAATAACAGCTTTAGTTTAATTCTAAAAGACAACTTTTCTCCTTATACGATGTTAAGAAAGAAAGAAAGAAAAAGTTCCCCCATGCCAGCCCACTAAATGAAAAAAATCACAGAATCAGAGAACTGAAGTTATTACATTAAAAAATCCCGTCTTTTGGCGCCCCAGTTGTGGCGCCTGTTCAGACCTTCCCTGTCCAACAGCTCCAGTTGGGAGGAAGAAGGGAAAAGGGCGAGGGGCGGGGGTGGGGGGGAGGACAGAAGCAGGCGGTGCTGAGAGCGTTTAGGATTCCCAGGCATTTCAATCTCTTGGTCTCCGGCCTTCCCTTCTTCTCCCCCCTTTCTTTCCTGATGAGATTCAAATCTCCAGGTTACTCTGGAATGCCACCCGGGCGGGAACTCCTAGAGGTCTGCGCGGCGGCACAGGACCCGCTGCCCTCGGTCCACACCCGGATGCGGACCCCGCGGTCCCGCATCCGTACATGCAGGTTCGCTCTTTCCGTCGCCGGAATCAAGGCAGGGTCGCCTGCAGCCTGGCCGGCTCTGTCTTTCTATATTTATTTTAACTCGGCCGGGCGCAATCAGGGAACGAAATCCTGGCAACAAAGCCCGGAGCGCCCGCGCCGAGGGGACCCGCTGCCGGCTCCCCGCCCCTTCCCCCACCGCCCAAAGTGCCCGGGGGAGAGGAGACGGAGAGGCCGGGTACGCGGCCACCGGTGCTGTGGGCTTGGGAGTTTCTTAGCTACACCTTTTAAACTTAAACCCGACAGCTGGGAAGCCATGCCGGACAGTGGCGTGGAAGCGGATCCAGAGGGCGCCGCCGTTCTCTCGCGCCCCGCGCCCTCCCCAGTCTTGGCTGAGCCTGAGCGGGCGCTTGGCGCGGTTTGTCTGACACTGGTAAATGGAAGCGGGTCCAGCTTGGAAGCAACCGCGCCGGAGTAGGGGGCGGGGAGGAGGGGAACCGGAGAAACGGGCTCTTCCCTCCGTAGCCAGGTCTGGTGTCTCTCCCTCTCGCAGCTGCGCCTTCAATTCATGGAAAACCCAAGCCGGTTCCCAGATCCAGGAGCGCACGTGGCGACGACGTGGGGCTCCCGGGGAGGCTCTGGCCACTGGCAGCCCAGGCTCCTGCACCCCTGCACCCCTAGGACTGGAAGACTGGCGGCGCCCCCCGGCGACCTCACTGTCTCGGCCTTCACAAGCAGTCGGGGGACCCCCTCCCCCACTGCCGGGCTTGCTGGGTATTCTACCCAAGGGGGGTATCCCCACAGCTAGGCGCGCCTCCGGTCCTTTCATAGCAGGCACCCAGAGTGGTGCCTCAGTGCGCCCCGAAACTCGGGTCCCCTCCGCATTTGGCCCTTTTCCCAAGCGCACGCCTGCACTGGAGCGGAGAGAGCGAACACACGTTGCCTTCTGCGAAGTCTAATCGCGGTCACTGTTTAACCGTTAATTTTCGAGAGGTGAAGGCAAACCACAGCACTGCTAAAAACACCCGGGCTCGCCACCGCGCGCCAGACCCGGGCTCAATGCACTTTAGCTCAGCGACCCCAGCTGGCCGAGTCCTCTGCCTCACCAAACCCTGCGCGAAAGCGGTGAGGGCCCCTCTGTCACCTCCACCCTGAGCCCTAAGATTCCCGCTGCACACTGGCCAGGCGAGGGATCCTCTCACCATCTCCCCGAAAGGGCCTGAGTGCTGTGGGGTGCGTCTTCCCGTTCCCACCCGGACCGGCGAGGGCCATTTGGCATCCCCGGGATGGCCAGACCCGCGCTATTCTTTATTCAAAGACCCGCAGCTGCCCGCCCGCCCGCCAGCCGGCCAAAAAATCATGCTTTCTCCCAAAGCATTCGGGTTCCATCTTCCTGTCAAACAAACAGGCATGCCCTTCTCCCGGCTTCTCTGCCCAGGCGGTCGCCCCAGTTCCAGGGCTTCTGTCATTCATTACCTCTCACAGACCCACGAGACCCAGTCAGCGTGGGCAGCGGCCCCGCGGACGGGCTGGCCACCCCTCTCCTGCACCGTGGCAGTGGAGCTGGACTCTGCTCCGCGCGGTGCCTAGTCTAGCAGGGACCCAACTCGTGCCTCCGGGTCCTGCTAACGTAGCAGTCGGTATCCGAGCACTCCCCCAGCCACGGACCAGCTCGTAGCACCAGCTACAGACCATGCTCGCCCCCGATCTCCCCATCCACCTGCAGCGGGCAGCCATGGCTCCGCGGAGACCCAGGGCTGCGTGTACAGGACCCGCAAGGTTCCCTGTCCTCGGATCTCCAGCCCTAAACTTGACCAACTCGCGTGCCCAGCTACTGGCTCCCGCTGCAGGGCCGAGTCTCCGGTTCCAGCCGGTAGCGGTAAGGACCACAGCTCCGGGCTGCGCCGAGGCAGGAACTTAACAAGGTGAAAACTTTCCCCCACGCTCTCCAACCGGGTCTGCTTTGCAGAGGAGACCCTGCCGCAGCCCCTCTGTAACCCCGGCCGGGGGCGCGGGGCGAGAGGCGCGTTCTAGTCCGTGCACCCTGCATCCCAGCAATCACGCTCCAAATCCCCACGCACCCTTGTCGCGGCCAGCGATGCTCGGCTCCTCCGGGCGCGTCCCCCGCGGTCTGCGTCTACCCGCTCCGGCCCCGGACAGCTGGCCACCCCTCCGCCTCCGCCGCAGTCACGCCGCGCTCCCTGCCCGGGCTGGGACCGGGCGCTCTGCACGCCGCAGCCGCCGCAGCCACCGCCGCGGGTTGGCGGGCGGAGGAGGGGAACGGGAGGAGGACGGCGGGAGGAGGGGGACCCGGCGCGAGGTCCCACCGCGCAGCCCGGATCACAGCGCAGCCTGCCGGGAGGAGCGGCTCTCGCGTCTGCTCCGCCGCTACCGCCGGCCGCCGAGCTGCTCCCGGTTCCCCATGGCGGCCAAGCCCCTCCGGCTTTTCCGCCGCGGTCTCCTCCTCCCACACCGCGAGCGGGAGCCGAGACCAGCGTCCGCGCTGGGGACGACCGGCGATCTCCGAGCGCAGCTCCGCGACCGGAGGCGCGCGGGAGGGGCCCGGGAGCCGCGGCGGGCAGGAGGGCGCTCCCGGCGCGGGGCGGAGAGCTGGACTAATTTTAGAGCCCTGGGTTTCTCCACTCCGCCTGGCTGGAGGATCGCAGCACCCGGCGGAGCAGCAGCCGGCAGCTCTGTGCAGGCGTCGGAGCGCGCGCACAGCAGTGCACGTGACTCCTCGGGGACGGAGGAGGAAACTGAGGCACTGTGGGGCCAGAACGGTTCACCCAGGGTCCTCGGGCTAGTTCTTCGCCTGGGGGCCAACCATCACACGTGTGCCTCTTGCTGCCCACACAGTGCTCCAGTTACTTTCCCACACATTGTAAGATCCCCGGGGTCACCCTTGTGCGGGCGGGAATTAGACTATAGGGTAGTATGACGCATCCCCCCCCCCCCGCCCCCCGTCTGAAACGTTGTGGGATGGAGAGGCCTTCGCAAGGTTTGTAAGATCCCCGGGGTCACCCTTGTGCGGGCGGGCGGGAATTAGACTATAGGGTAGTATGACGCATCAACCCCCCCCGCCCCCCGTCTGAAACGTTGTGGGATGGAGAGGCCTTCGCAAGGGTAGTAAGTGAACAATCCCGGATGATTTGCAGTGACAACTGGCGGTCCTCTAGTTCCAGTAACTTCTGAATTACCCAGGCAAGTCCGAGGGTTCCCTGCACGTACTTCCCCCTCCCACCTTGAACCCACCACCTACTGCTGCAGCCAGCAGGTCCTCAACCTCCAGGTACATCCTCACACCAGCGCCTTTCCCCCTCACCTGCAAGCTCAGAAGCAGACCTCACTGCTGCCCCACGTGCACGCGCACCACGGGGTTGGGGGCGTAGGGGGGGCGCGATCTGCCCAACCCAGGCTCTCTCCTGCGAGGTGCCTCGGATGCCCTCTCCCCGTTGGCATCTCCCCAGCAACTCTGCAATGAGCACTGGCATGGAGAAAAAGATGCGCCAGGCCTGCCGATCGCTCCCATTTTGACCGCGGAATTTTTCCTTGGGGAGAGGGAAGAATTGTTGCAGAAGTCTTTGTGTTCAGTGAGGACCTTTAAAGATTTAGTTTTGCCTTTCTGGTCTTCAGCTGCCAGCGTGGGGCCTTTGCGCCTTGGAAGCCACACAAAGCCCTCCACTCTCCAGAGGGTAAAGTTCCCCTTGAAAACCTCTCTATCCCCACTCCCCGACAGACACACTGCCTTGACTGCGCCATAAACCACCCTGTATGGGTCGCTCTCCTTGAGCAGTTAATTGAAATGGTAAGGAATAGTGACAGCTTGCTGTACATCAACTAATTCCAGGCCAGAAACACTATGGTTTCCAGGTCTTTACTGTCACGAAGGCCAGAAGATCGCTTACCAGTGCTCCAAATGTTGTCATTTGAATAATTTTATTCTGATTTTAATTTTTATTTAGCCTCTTTCTTATGCATTGAAAGTTTATTGCCATGTAAATATGTTTCCAATATGCCATAGTCCTTTGTGACTGACCATCAAAGATTTTAATGAATCAAGCATTTCCCACCGGGCTGCTTCTGAGGAAGGGCTGAGAGAGTAAGGCTACTTTGGGTAGAGTCATCTGGTAGATGGTTGGTCCCTGGGATGCTCAGGGAAGGGATGCTGGCAGGGGACAGGCCATCTTCCTTCATCTCCTGCCTGGGAAACAGGCCAGGCAGCAGCCACTGCTGGTGAAGTTCCCTACTCCAGCGCCTCCAAATGCTCTCTTAGGCCTCAGAGGCACCTTACTGATAACTGCAGAAATCTGTCTAAATTTCAGCCTCTGTCCCCAGGCAGTGTGTAGATAATAAAGTAAACAGTCTCTCCTGCCTGGGCAGAAATAAGCCGTGACAACCCTGGGGTGAGGGACTTGCTGCAAGGAGGCTGGAGTGGTTAATCTAGTGGGATGCTTCTCTGGTCATTGAAGAGCAAGTAATACACAGGTTATCCTCGGGGTGTTAGAAAGACACTTTATTTTATTTTTTTAAATAACCTACTGTGCACCTGTGCTGTTGAAGGCACAGAGCTGATAAAACAGCGAACTTTATGAGTATGCAGAGGTCATCTTTAGTATTTACATTGCCAGCCACAGCACCCTGCACCAAGACTAGGATAGTCAATAAATGTTGGTACATAGAGAATGAACAGTAGAGCTGTCAGACTCTAACTACACAGGAAAGTGCTGAGCTGAAACACTGGAAATGTAAAATCAAGGTGCTCACTCTTTCAGACCTACGTACCACTCTTCCGAGTCCTGGCTGTCCCTTTCAGCCACTGCAGAAACAACTTGCTCTGCTGGCTCCCATAGCTACACTGAAACTGAACACCATAGTCCTCTCCTGCAGCTCACTTCCCACCTGGGGGATCCTTAGTCAAAGTGCCACTGTGCATGGAAACCTGGAGTGCAGGGGATTAAATGCTTTGTGTGACATCTTTAGCTCGAAGGCTGTGGGGGCCCCAGCTGGAGGATGGTGATGTGTGTTTCATGCAGCTTCTGAGGTAGTCTTGCCAAAAGAAGCCCTGTTCCCCTGAAGCAATGGTAACTTGGTAACTCATAGAGTAAGACTGGCCCCACATTCTTCCTCCAGGTCCCTACCTTCCATCCCTCATGCGCTCCTGGAATCACACTCACTCCCAGATGAAATGTTTCTGGTGATTTTTTTTTAAAATATTCACATATCATTTTTATTTATGTGTATGCAGGTACCCAAAGAGGCCAGAGGAGGCATGGAATTCCTTGGAACAGAAGTTGCAGGCAGTTATGAGCCTTCCAACATGGGTGCTGGGAACCAATATCAGGTCCTCTGCAAGTAGAACAGCTGCTCTAACTGCTGAGCTGTCTCTCCAGCCCCTCCAATAATTTTAATGTCGCATTCTGTTTTCCAGCAAACCCAAACACATTGTCTTAGTTTGTCTCTCCATTGCTGTGACAAAACACTCTGACCAATACCAACTTGGGGAGGAAAGGGTTTATTTAGCCTACATATCCTGGGTCACAGTTCATCCAGGAGCCCAAGGTAGGAACTGAACTCCAGGCAGGAACCTGGAGGCAGGAGCTGGAGCACAGGCCATGGAGCAATGTTGCTTATTGGCTTGCTCCCCTGGCCCCTGCTCAGCCTGCTTTCTTATGCAACATAGGATCACCTACCCAGGGGTGGGACTACCCACCATGGGCTGGGCCCTCCCACATCACTCATTAAGAAGATGACCCTCAGACATGGCCACAGGCCAGTCCAATAGAGGAAATTCCCTAATTGAGGCTCCCTCAACCCAGGTGTGTCAAGTTGACACTAAACCTATCCAGCACATACATGGACCATCAATCCTAAACTTTTGCACTAAGCAACAGCCAAATGATATTTCAAAGGGTCCTTTGAGGACAGTACATGCATGTCTATATAATGCATACATATGTAATTGATCACAAACAGGATTACATATATGCTTTCTTCTCTACATGTATGCACTACACTTCTCTCCCTGATCAACTCTGTCCCTCAGATCTGCCCATGTTGTCTACATGTTCAAAAATATAGAAGACTTGTCCAGTGTGATATTTGAGGTAACGCCTAACTTATGGTAAGCTCTGTGTAAACATTGAAATATGGCTTCCTTTGAAAGAGATTTTGTTAACTGACTGGGCCATTTGGGGGGGAGGTAACCAAATCTCCTTTACTGTGATTATTTAATCAAGAACAGATGAGCCTGGTATATATATATATATATGGAACACATAAAACCAAGTTACATTATGTGTTGTACTTTGAATGCAAAGTGTCTTCTGCAGGGTCCTGTGTTTGAGCACTTAGCCCCCTGCTGATGATGCTGGTTGGCAGTGTGGAAGACTGTGGAACCTTTAGGAGATAGAGCCTTGCTGAAGGAAGTGGGAACCTGCTGCTCTGTGGAATTGTAGTCCAGTCCATAGTAATTCTAAAACACAGACTGACTTCTTTCTAAATTCTCCACCAATCCTTTGCCTGCGTGTAGTGGAGCTGTCTGCCTGCCCACCCTGGGTGTTTCCCTGCTTCCACGTGCCATTCTTCACCACGTGACTCTTTCTTAAAAAATCAATTTCCAGGAGTTTCATACATGTTTGTAATATGTTGTGACGATACCTGTCCCATTACCCTCTTGCCTTCCCCCTCCTGCAGACCCTCCCTCCCCCCAACTTTCCCCTCTCCTCCTTTGGCCTCATTTCTTGCCATGTACAGGTCATTTGCAGGTGGCCACAGCTGCTGTGTGTCCATAATTGCATTTGCCAAGCATGTCCAGAAGGCAACTTTCCACAGCCTCTTCCTCCCCCTCCCCCTCCCCCTCCTCCTCCTCCTCCTCCTTATTTTGAAGGGGTCCCAGGCCAGACTTGTACAATCTAACTACTTAAGTTTCCCTCAGGTGAATGTTTTTACCACCTGTGTTTGTCCTTTCAGAAATTCATTTTCTGTGTCTGTCTTGGGCTGCAACTCTTGCTTTGTTTTGGCTATACAGACTAATAAATATCACAGCAGGCATTTGTCTTAATTATCAATTCTGTGTTCTTCAAGACATCCCTCCTTCTTATTCATTCATCTATTTTGTTCCTTAACTGATCCACTCATTCACACACTGATCTGGAGCAGCTATGTACTGGACTCTGTTAAGCACTGGAGACATAATGAATTATCCATCCTTATAGATCTTGAACCACAGTAGAAGTCACCATTTACCAAAAGATGCCAGAAGTTAATATAGCAGGGGATGGGCTGTGAGTTGAAGATGATGGTTGTTTGCGGTCACCGCCAGCGGCGGCCACTCCTCTGTTCTCGTGGGTGCTACCCCTTCGTTCTCACAGGCGTCGACGCTGCTCCTGTGCTTGCCCTGGGCTAAGGCTGCTCTTCTTTCTGCCTGCCCTGGGCTGAGGCCGCTCTTCTGCTCTCCCGGTGCTGAGGCAGCTCTTCTGCTTGCCCTGTGCTGC